CATAGGCACAGCTACGGCCACACCCACACCCACACCCACACCCACACCCCACACCCCACACCCAATGTTTGTACTTAAGGCATACCAAAAGTAGTGACATCATTATCTTATGTCGTTAGTAGAAAGCTATAATAAATTTTCTTTTTTCATGTAGTGATAGAGGAAACGACGCTCTTTATTTTCTGTGCTATTTAATCACTCTTTAACTAATCTCATAATCATAAAATTTCAATAACAACTGTTTTTGTATACAACTTCACTAATATGTGACATCGATTGAATGGCCACGCTTTGTATTCCAGTTTTCAATCACTAGATAGGTTGTATCAAAAAAATAAAATATACCACTAGATGCAGCATGGTAGGTGGGTGTGGCCGTAGCTGTGCCTATGTGTTTAGATGCTTGCGGGTCCCTCTGAGTGAAAAAAAATCCACACCCACCATAAGACATCGGTTGTACAGTTCTCAAGTCATGAAATTCGCTGGTTTCACTTCGACTTCAATATTCATGGATACTCAGTTTCACAAATGCACTTTAAAGAGAACCTACCAGTTACAACTCGGGATTTCTCTTTTGCAGATCTGGTCTTGTGCACTCTATTTCATTTTTTCTTTGTACCTTCTGCTTCTTATCACAATCACATGAAGTCAAATCAATTTGGCTTGAAACAGAGCACGTAAGATTCTGCAAACATAGATTTTGATCGAAAATATATCAAAGTATTACGGAGTGCATAATTTGAAAATTAAAAATGAATTTTAAGCTTTAGTTCAATGCAAAACATTCTACTCGATTTATGATCATCCATATAGTTCTGCACTACTAAAACTAACAATACCATTATTCGTTCCACCAGGAACTAACACATTTCCATTTACCAACGTGGATGCCGTGTGTACGAATCGTGCAGTACTCATGCTGTCCGTATTAGTCCAAAGCCCTGTTAATGAATCGTATAATTCTGCACTTCTCAAAGTAATACCACAGTTCTGCACACTGCTCTGTCCACCAGCAAATAAGACATTTCCATTTACCAATGTGGATGCTGTGTGAGCGCATCGTGCACTACTCATGTTGCTTGTAGTTGAACATTTTGGGAAGGAACTTTCAAATAAAGCAATCAATCACATGGTTTAGATCTGAGGTCTTTACATCAATCTTTTGTGAAAGAGTTTTAGTCATAGATTACAGTATCATTTTTGAGAAGACGGGAAACACATGTAGATTTGAGGGTGTGGGTGTAGGATGTAGGTTCTTTGATCGTTAATATCCCACCCACACCCTATTACCTTTTTAGGTAACAATGAAATTCTAAACTGATTTGGATCTTTAGATTTAGATTAGTTGAAGCCATTGATAAGACCCTTGAGCTAGATCGAAACCGTTCATGGTAGCTTGTCTCACCCGCACACCCTCTCAGTTGGTTCAGGTACATGTGGTTCATCAGATTGATCACAATAGATACGCATTAATGAAATAAGTTCAGATATATTTGTTTCATTAGCTACATGGATGGTAATCGAGGACATCTTTCGTTAACTGATGCCATACGACTCTTATCGATTACTCATATTTAGATAAGAACAGAAAAAAACAACAATCAGGATTTCTTTTTATCAAAAATGGCGACGACGTCCGTCGAAGATACTCATTGGAGGATAAATATTGTCAATGAAAATGATCTAGTCGACTTATTACCATTATTACAAGTTTATTGTGAATTTTATTATCAAACTGAAGAAATTCTTCGAACGAATGATGAGCTACTTTTATCCGTTTCTTGAGCATTAATTGCAAATTTAAAAAACAAGAAGGAACACAATTACTTGTTCGACATGTTCAAGATGGAAAAGCTGTTGGTATTGCTACACTTTTCCGGTCTTGATTTACGATCGATGTGGTTTCAATGAAAAGTGATCGATGGTTAAATTGCACACTTCCATTATGAATGATGTTTATTGTTTTTTTTGATGATTTTTTCTAATCCTTGAAATTGATTTTAGATAACAATGAAGAATTTGATTGAAGATTTCATTTTATTCTTTCTTGTTACACTCATATTTTTCTTACCTTTTGCGACATTGTTCATATTTATTCTCTTACCCTATTTTTGGTCTTTACCGATGACATTACTCATTGGCTTGATTTATGGTAGTTGGATGTATATTGATCGATATACAGATGTTCGAGGAGGACGCCTGTCGAATTTTTTACGTCGATTATCTATTTGGTCAATAGTTTCTAGTTATTTTCCATTAAAATTAATCAAAACTGAAGATCTTGATCCAAATCGAAATTATATCTTTGGTTATCATCCACATGGTGTATTAACTTTCGGTGCTGGGGTCAATTTCCTAACAGAAGCAACACATTTTTCAACTCTATTTCCTGGTATTCGTCCTCATTTGATGATTCTTCGTTACCAATTTCTTGTTCCATTTTCACGTGAATTATTTCTTTACTTGGGTAAGGATAACATTATAAATCCATCATCGAATGTTTTGTTATTCTAGGTGCATGTCGTGTCTCACGAGAGAGTTGTCAATATTTCTTAAATGGTTCATCTGGTCAAGGTAATGCTATTGTTATTGTGTGTGGTGGCATGACAGAAATGTATTTAACAGAATATCAAACGATGATATTCTATTTAAAAAAGAGAAAAGGTTTTATACGATTAGCATTAGAAAATGGGTTAGTGAATATGTAATTAGAATGAACAGAAAAGAAGAAGTTTCGTTTATTAGTGCGTCATTAGTACCGGTTATATCATTTGGAGAAAATGAACATTTTCGACGATTTAAGAATTGGATTTCAAATCGATGGATTTGGGGACGATCAATTATTGGTTGTTTACCTCTTCGTCATCCTGTAACGACCGTTGGTAAGATAAAACTTTCTTTCTCATTAGATTCGAGAAAAAAAAAGAATTTTATCTGATTCTATTAGTTGGCAAACCGATTCACGTCAATCAAATCATTGATCCATCTCAAACAGATATAGATCAACTTCATTATCAATATCTTCAAGCAATTGAACAGCTGTATAATATAAACAAAGCAAACTATGGTTTTGAACATGTGAAATTAAAGATAATTTAGATAACATTTGGACAATGAAGCTAATTTCTCTTGTTACTCTTCAAGACCTACCTCAATCAATTAAACATTAAGTAACTGACTTGCGAGAAGGCGAACATCTATTAAGCTCATATGTCGATGAGATAGGGTGTGGGTGTTATCGAAAATAGTCTGAATGATCACATTCACATTCACACTTCCCCACCTCATTGATAAGATGAATGTATCAGATTTGAAATATGATTTTTTCATCCAATTAGTGTAATATTTTCGCTAAAGTAGCACATCAGTTGCATTATCAAAAGAGTACTTTGTTGAAATTTTACTCATTAACAGATCAATCATTAGTATATTTTTCTTTTATTTTTATTTGCTCGCTGTTGAATTTCATATTTCAATATTATGAAAAAAGCTTGTCAGCGCAGCTCCTCTGGGGCTAAAATGTGGAACTCACATATGATTTTTAGCCTAAACCTGTTAATGCACAATACGCAAAGTACGAAATCTATTGCCAATTTTAGTTTTTTTTTTCAAGACAAACAAATTGACAGAAATATATTGATATACAATACGTAAAGTGAAAAAACTCGTAGACTATACTCATTTTTAAAACAATCAATTATCAGCGAAAGAATAGTTTTCATCTATTTTTATATATTGTACACAATTTTTTTTCTTTTCTTTTCGCCGGTGCTCTATTTTTTATTCAATCTAGTAACTATTATATCTTTTTATTCAATCTTGTGCTCTATTATTTATCTCATCATTAGTTTAACTGACAAAGAATGCTGTTGTAAATGTCTCTCATATTTAGAGTAAACATAAAAGAGCTATCATAATTCTTCATCAACTCATAAAGGCAAATATATTTTATTTTTGGAAGTTACAACTTGAACATTTTTCAAAACAAAATCAAGAAAGTCTAACGTTTGTTGTTTTTGATAGCGAATGTCTGTAATGGTGTTGCTAGTGTCTGTAATGCGGTTGCTAATGTCTATAATGGGGATTGGAGGGTAGGGGGGCGGGAATATATCACTAATTGGTATGGTTGTAATAGGAGTGAGGGGGGCGTAGGGGGTGTATGTCTGTAATGGAGGCCGGAGGTGGGAAGCCGCAAAGACCGTCGCCTTAAAACTTACACTCACCATTTTCTTCGAAAATATATGTGAGTTCCACAAAAAAGTTGATCTTTCTATGATGATTGTTTTTATGCACGTGTTGATCCCACTGAAAGAGTCTTTTTCCAAGCCTTCATATTCATTCTAATGCTGAGACTCTATTAGATTGTGACATCTAAGTTTTAAAATCCCACTCATTGAATCTGGTTTTATCAAAAATTTATCATAAAGAAGTTCTCTCTCCGTATTTATTATTTCATCATTGACAAGTAAATATCATAATATGTCGACATGTAAAGGCATCGATGGGGTGTGGGTGAAGATATGTGAGTGGCTTTGGCTACGGCTGGGCGCGAGCAGTGCTCTGGTTGTGAATATCTTTAGAACACGATCAACAAATATACCGGGGAAAATTTCAAAAGAACGACGACACTCACACCCAGTTCATCTGTTTATCCAAGAACCTTTAGTAAATAAAAACTTTTTTCGAGATTTTCACAGCTGTTTTATATGGTCAAAGAAGAATACAGGTACTTGAAGTAACAGAATGACTGTTAACAAATCCTAAATTTCCAACTCCTACACTAGCCACTTAGATGCATTTTAATTGTCATTCATCGTATTCAAGCTGCTTTGGACGAATAGTATCTAGATTATCGGTGATCTGTTGTTGTTATTCGACCGTTGTGGTATCGAAACTAGAGGGCCCATTATTATTGTCATTATTGCAGCCTAGCTCGGGAGTACTATTATCTGTCGTGTTTTTGTCAATAAATTTTGGATCTTTCGATGTTAGTTTATTCGATGGCAATGTAATATCAAAGTCATAGTTCACATTTGCTGTTGGCGAGTAGCGTTCATTGTGATGTTGAACTAAACGAAAACTCTCAAATAGTTTCTACTATCGTTTTGGCTTATTAAATTTGCTTTCCAAAGGTGAAAAAAATTTATTGAAAATCAGGGTGTAATTAGCTTAGTATTTTAGCTGAATAGCGCTACCGAGTTTCTGTGTGAGTGGGTGTCCGTGTGAGTGTGGATCTGTAGGAGTGGATATTGACCTGTTCGATTCTCACACTCACATCCACACCCCAAATATTGCCTTTACTATCAGAAAAGAAACGAATGAATTGTTTCTTTTCGTTTTTTTTCTGTTTATCGCATGTTCGAATTTGAAAATTCTAGGGATATTATTTTTATCTGTCTCTTCCTAATACATATGTATGTGATTTTCGTATAAGATAAATCATTGCTATATTGAACAAGCTAGTCATCGACTGGTCCTTTATTCTATACGCGATACAAATATGTTTGGTTTAATCGGTTTAAATGGCTACAGGTGATGTACCATTTTTTTCAGATGTTATTCAAAATAATCGTGATAAGTTGCATGATGATAAAGACTTATTGTTATTATTTGTCTTTTGGTATTTGGATAATAATAGTTTCGTTTTATTAGTCGATGATCAAGTAAACAGCAATATTCGTATTTGACTCATATATTTTTTTAAAATTTTTTCAAATAGCAATATCCATTGCTTCATCGTTTTAAAAATGAAAATAATCCCACTACACATTGACATGTTTAAATAAAGCCAGTGGTAAAAAAATAAGTGTAATATTAACAAGCGATAATAACAAAGTCCTCGTATACTTTGAGGTAAATTCAATGTGTTTATTAAGTTTTTTTTTTCGTTTATTTATTCTTAGACATTACGTGAAACACCTGGCCGTTCTAAACAAATACCAATCGAACTAAAGTTGTTTATCGATGATAAGAAAAAGTATGGAATTGTTTTTTATATTCTTTCAAATTAATTTATTTTCTTTTTTTCTCTTTGATATAGGGATCTGAAAGAGCGGATGGAAATTGTGAAAAAATTAGATACTGGTCTTGCTCATATTACTGGGGAAAACAACAAGAAAAACATAGTTTTTATTATTATAATCATGCTATGTTTTTCTTTTAATGAAACAAAAAAATAAGCATTTTTTTTATTAAACTATAAAATAAAATTCAAGCTTTTGATATCATCATCATCAGAACATCATCATTAATACTTATTGTAGTTTACACATTGTTTTTTTTTCAATAAAAAAAATTGATCAAATCAGAAACGGAAAAAAAGATCGAACAGTGTTTGACATTTTGTTTCCATACTTTTATATAGTATGTTTAGTCGGTGTACACGATACAATAAACAATGGAGAATCCGCATCACATGACAATTATTGATATTCATGAAAAAAAAAGAGGGAGAGAAAGAGAAAAAGAGTGTTGCTCATTTATTCATAGCTGATTTCGAATAAAGAGCATTGTTTCCATTGATGGCAGCGGTTAAATAGAACAAGAGAGTATATTTATTGACATATATAAGCTAAGAAGAATTGCATGAGAAAATAAACATGGAATTTTCCTCTGTTCAATTGATGAATTTACCTGATGAAATATTAATGATTATTCTAAAAAAATTAGACAATGTTGATGTACTTTATTCGTTAATGGATGTCAACACACGACTCAACCAAATTGTACATGATTCTATTTTTACTACTAAAATAACATTAGTGAAACCAATTGATCAAACATTAATACAAAGTGATATATTGCTTGATCGATTATGTTCGCAAATATTGCCAAAAAATTCATCATAAAATCAAATGGCTCAAACTCGAATCAGCGTCAATGGAACGTATTCTTTTGGCTGGTGATTATCCTAATTTATGTCAACTTGATATTTTTATCATACACAAGAAACCTGCCATACATTTTTCTGGTAAAAAAATCTAATTTTCATTCTTTTAATCATCAAATCATAAAAAAGATATTAACTTTTATTACATTGTTAATGGTATTCTGTAGATCCTCTCAATAGAGAAATTTTATAGAGTAAACATAAATATCCATTTGAAAAAAAACATTCTAAATATGATCTCAATCAATTTTATCTAATTTTTCTACATGAATGTTTAGAAATAAAAAACATGATAATATCCAGCTACAGAATATTATTAAAGAAGAGTTCATTTTTGACGATGCTTAATAACTGTCGCAGAGACAATGATCGAAGTTGATTTTAGAATTCGAAATAGAAATTAAGTAAAAAAAAAGACTTTCTCACAGCCTATTGGCTTCTGTGAAACGTTTAGGAAAAATATAATTGAATGTATAATTAACAATCAATTTTAGTTCGATCACAGAAAAAGAATAACTTTTCATTATATCGTTTATCAAATGATAAAAATAATTCGTCATGAGACGAAAAAATTCTTAGAAGCATAACGATAGATTTTGACAAAAATGACCATAAACATGAGATATAAATAAATCTATTTCTCATATCAAAAGTAAAGTCCAGACTAAATAGAAGTTCTTTTAAAATTTATGTTTAGACGAATCTTCCCTAGTTCGTATTTTCCAAAATCAGATTATGACATTGCTTATTACTGGCAAGAAAGGCAATCACGATGAATTGACAATGAAAATGCGAGGAAATCTTTTTACCTATATCTTGACGATGTTCACCAACCTTTGACATTTGAAATTCTACCAAAATTTGAATAATCCAACTGGATTTTTATTATTTAATGATCAATCTTCAATGTTTTCTTTAACACTGACGGAATTACATATCAATGTTTATATTTTCAATAATTGCCTTTATCTACTTGATGGTCGATTCAATCAGCTACGTATATTATTTGTTAATGTCTTTCATATTTGGCCTCTCCGATCGACTATCAGTAATAAGGTAAGTTATATAAGCAAGAAGAATAACGATAGTTATTGTTAAAATATTTATTTTAAGATCGATATTATTTTGAAAGAGTAATTTATTATTGTAGAAAGAACTGTTTAATTTGAAAGATTTTTCGCTGACCTGTAATAATGAAACATATGTTTATGATGAAGTGATCGTACCACATCTGCAACGAATGGTGAATCTAGAAAAGCTGGCTTTATATCTTTTGATTGAATGTTACGAAAGATTTATCGATGGTAATGATTTAAAAAAGAATATTGTCAGTCATATGCCTAAATTGAACGACTTCGTATTTAATATTCGCTCAATCATTTCACTTGACAATCAACTGCATTTACCATCAAACGAGGATATTCGGCTTACATTAACAGGTTTCACAAATTATCAAGTTATTTCTTGTCTTAAATATTTTTCAAATAACAAGATTGGTTATTGTCATATTTTCACATATCCATATACAATGGTACATTATGAAAATATTACCAATAATTTTTCAGGTGGATTATTTAAATCTGTTCAAACTGTAAGATTATAAGATGAATGTTCTTTTGAACATACATTTTTTATGCGAATTGCTCAAGCATTTTCCATTTTTGAAATACTTGACTGTAAGTAATTGGCAGTCTCAAAATGACAAACAACATCAAAAGTCAAATGACGACAATCAAGATTTTCCAATTATCGAATATCCTTACCTTATTAAACTTCATCTTCTCCACATTCATGATGATTATGGTGAGCGATTTTTACTTGATACGAAAACGTGTTTATCAAACGATATTCACTTGATAATTGATTATGATCTATTGCAACGTGTTACAAACAATTTGACAAGAGACGCAACACGAATCAATTATTCTAAAGTGAAACAATTTGAGTTTCATGATTGTGTCGATCTATCAAAATATGTTTGATGTTTAGTTTTATCATGCCAAATACTTGTCATTGTCTGTTAAATAATTCAATAAAATGAATAATAAAAGGAGATTAATTGGCTTTAAGATACTGTGAAAGTTGAAAAAAAAACAAAAGAGTAAAAGGAAGCACATATTTATAGTTTATTGAAAGGAAATAGAAGCTATTTATTTTATTTGTTTCTCGGTATTTAAAAAAAATAAAATTCTTGCTTGAATATTAAAAACATTAATATGAAAAAGTTTCATCATCTGATACAACTCGAGGAGCGATAGTTTTTTTCGTTTTTGATCGTCGTTTTGTTTTTTTAACAACATCTAATACATCATTCATTAATTTTGTTCATGTTCGTTTTTTCGAGGAATTTCTTTCTGGAATAGGAATATCATCATTTTCGTTTGCCTCTCAAGTTTTTTGATTAAGTAAATCAAGTCCATACTTAAATAGAAAATAAAGAAAATTTGTCGTATTGTTGTTCTTTCTCTTTTTCCTAATTGGTTTAAAATAACTGCGGTGGATATGGGTGTGAATGAAGATATTACCCACATCCACACCATGATCTGTAATAATACTATCACGTTGATTCGATAAATTCAAATAGGCACATTGTGCTTCAGATTCTGTTGGACTTACAAGGTATCGAATAACAAATAAACGAAGTAGATCCTAACAAAATAATATTTTCAAATTATAAAATCAATTTTCTGTTTTTTTTATTACTTGTGTATCCTCAAGCATTGTACCTGTAAGTGTTATACAGTTAATCGTTCATTAGCGCGAGCTGTTATTAATTGAACAGCTTGAAGTTTATCTAATGTTTCCTATAAAAGAAAACAATCGATGTTCTATCTTTTTTCGATAAAGTTATGCTTACTAATTGAGAAAATGATGATTCTTTAATTTCAGTATCTGTCATTGATGATTGATCTTTATTATCATTAATAAACATTTTAATATTTTCAATAGCTGTACTATTATGACAACTTTCATCATGTTCTGATTTAATATTTAATAATAAACAACAAACATTTATGAATATTAAATCGTTAAAACGTAAAATGAAATATTATTCAAAGAAATTGAAAATCACGAACAACGTTTAGAACAATTAGTATTTAATTATAATGATTTCAAAAAAACAATAACAACATCGACAACCAATTGGATTATTAGAACATCTTTATCAATATTGTTATGATTCGAGTGATGCTGAAGCATGGTTAAGTGAACAAGAGTTATATATGATGAGTGACGAACATGGTAAAGATGAATTAACAACACAAACATTTATACGTAAACAACCAGCAATTGGTTAAACCAATTGAAGATTATAGTCATGCACTTCATGAATTAAATGATCGTGCAAAAATTTATTAGATAATTTAAATCAATCAAATTTATCAGATGATTTTATGTATAAACATAATGCTTTTCGTACAGAAGAAGGGTGTGGATGTGGGATGTGGGTGTGTTTGTTGGTGACAAGTTAATCCACACCCACACCCACACCTACGGGTGCAGTAAGATTTGGATTTGGGATTTGGTGCATGCAATTTAACATGTAAACAAACCCAAACCCAAATCCAATCCTATGGATTTGTTGCATCCCTACCCACACCCACACCCTACACCCTAGCTACAGCAAGTTGAAATAGCTAGAAGATCTTTGCATTGCAAATGAATGAATCAAATAGGTGTGCAGTAGATTAACTAGCTATGAAAAAGAATAAATACTTACAGCAAGTTGGAATAGCGAGAATATCTTTAGATTGCTAATGAATGAATCAAATAGCTGTGTATTAATTGCAAAATTAAGAGAAAAAAAACTATCATTTACATCTAGCTTATCATTCTTTCCGATTTAATTATAAAAAAAAGATTGTATCTCTTTTGAGAATGAACCATTTGGAACGAAAACAACGAAAACAGATTATTCAGACGTTCGCCACTTGTGATAGAATTAGAGCCAATCGAGAGAAAGAGTCATAAAATTTCTTTAGCTTATATACTTCCAGATTCTCATTGATAACTTTGTAGGTCCGTGCAAGTAGCTGGATAAGTAGTTCTGTGATACACAAAAGAGAGAATAATATGAAGATAAAAATCAAGTGACCTGAATAGTAGCTTTACAAAATACCAAGCACGGTGACGAGCAAACGATGTTATTTTTTGTCAAAATATTTATTAGATCTACTTTTTATAGTGCTCTAAGTTACTATTTCCCTTCTACTTATTGCATGAAACGAGAGACAGATACTGGGAAATTTTCCAACATGAAGTATACTTACAGTCTCCTTAGTTTTGCTTGATGATAGTTGCTTGCAAAATATTTTCTGATAACAACAGTAAGAGTCAAATGATGACAACATGTTATTATAGGAAGAAAAAAAAATTATCTGCCTCTGTCACCAGAAGCGCAACTGTACACCGGAAGCAGAAAAAATATACAAGGCCGTTCTTTATTAGAATAGACTGCCAGATAAAGTGAGAAGTTTTTTATAACTGCTAGTTCTTTAATGAAAAGAGAGTTTGCTCATACGTATATTACGAGCGATAATGTGACAAATAAGAATGACAACACTTACCATAATCTAGATTATCATCTTGACTAAGAGAATCATGAAATGGCAAAGATTTCTAAATCGTGTCAAAGAAGAAATCATAAGAATCTAAATTCCTCATTATGTAAGTTTAGAAACCTATGGAATGTTAAATTGTTTACTATCACAGCACATTTCACTTTATTATAGTACCTTTTGTTTGCGGCTAGGAGTAAATGTTATACCTAGAATGTAGTGATGCAGAGATAAATTAAAATAATCAATAGAGATAGAAGTAAAATATGAATGATTGATGAAGATTACATTTCAATTACTTAATAGATTGAGCTTTAAACTATTGTGATACGCACCGCTCTAGCAATTAGTTTGTGGCGACAGACAACTACACAGACATCGATGCTCACACTGATCTGCACCTTCACCGTTCTCTCACAAACTGATCATTTCACCTACATTTATGGCACAAGAGTCCGCGTCTACGCGAACGATTAGAAGGTGACCCGTACCACCATCGAATTCGATCTTCTCTCCTACCTTATCGAATGATATGTAATTCAAAATATTTTGATGCAGTAGAAAACGCCCATAAAAAATTACTGATGTCCGAATAAGTTTATTTTGATAATAAAATAAGTGATTTATGGAAAATCTTTCAAAACCCTATGAAAGCTTGTTGGAGAGAACATGTTTTTGAGTAGAATAAAGTAGAGACATGAATCTATCGTATGGTACAATCAGAGCCGAGACAAGGTTTTTGATTCTTTATGAAACTTTCTTCACATGACAAATAATACGAAGTGTTCGAATAATTATTTTACAGTATATATGTATATATCGATTCACCGACACTTGCGCACGCGACATTTCCGCGCACGACACTTACGCGCAAAACGAAACTTTTCCTCTCCATGTTAACTTAATAAATCTTTCAAATTTTTCAAAAAACTTTTTATTCGAGCCATATTTAACAAAAGCAAGAATTATATAATTAAAGCAACGACCACAAATAAAGGGTGTGGTTCTGGGTATGGCTGAAACGAAGATTGATAGTCACACGCACACTCGCATCCCATATCTGCACCCCACACCCACGCTCGCACCGCACATCCAAACTCCACCAACCCAGTGAAAAATATTCCGAAGAAAATCCAGATTATTTTTGATTAGCGACGGACAAATCCGATTTTTCAAACAAAACTTCTATTTTTTCCAGAAGAATCCGATTAAAATCGATTAAAATTCTATAATCGATTGTAAAATCAATCAACTCAATCAATTAGTTTTGATTCAACCAACTAAAATTGGATTTTAATCGGACAATCGACTTTAATTTGCTCAATCGATTGAAATCCCAATCATCAACAATCGAATTAAAAGATTATTAATTGATGATCTTAGATTTACCCGTCTGTAATCCGATTTCAATCGGAGAATCGATTTTAATCTGCTCAATCGATTGAAATCCCAATCATCAACAATCGAATTGAAAGATTATTAATTGATTATCTTAGATTAACCCTATTGAAATCGGATTTTAATTGGAGAATCGATTTTAATTTGCTCAATCGATCGAAATCCCAATCATCAACAATCGAATTGAAAGATTATTAATTGATTATCTTAGAATTACCCTTCTGTAATCGGATTTTAATTCGACAATCGATGTTAATCTGCTCAATCGATTGAAATCCCAATCATCAACAATCGAATTGAAAGATTATTAATTGATTATCTTAGATTTACCCG